TTGCTGCCACCTACTGGCAGTTTTAATTTCACATTTAAGGTACCTTTTCATTTTAAAAATAATTTCAAACACCAGTTTTTAATGTTTTATGTTTAAAATATCAGAACATTATTTATGCATTTGTAACTGCAGGTATTCCATGTCCCTCTGAGCTGCATTAAACAGTGTGTAAATACATCTAAATGCCCCTTCTAATGTATGCATTGCAAAGATACATTTTGTCAATACTGATTTCATTTGCTTGCTAACAGCCCAAATGTCTTATTATTCTAATTGACTGATTAAATGTAAAAATTTGACTCAAAAGATGATGCACACTTTTAGAAAAAATGGCTGTATAAAGGTAAAAAAATGCCCATAAAAGGTAAAAATAAATGTAAACTTATCGGAAAAGATTAATTTCTATCACTGCTGTGAACTGATCACCACAGAATATGAAGAATAACAAAAAAATTAGGAGTCAGCTGTCCACGGTAGTCCTTAAGATACCAGCACAATAACACACTCAGCAAAATGATTGTCTAATTATTTAATTGTCTTGTCTAATTGTTATATATAATTTTCAGTATTGAGTTTTGTGGGGTCCTTTTGGTAATTGTAGTTTCGACTAATGGACTGAAAATCCCTGATTAAGGGTATGGAAACAAGCAAATTAATCAGGAATTTATTGTGTGCCCCAGAACAAGAGAAAACAATTACTAATCCCATTTACGCCTACACTTGTGTGGATCAATGTGAAACAATTACGAACTCAAAATTATTCTTAGGTCTTTTGTGTTGCAAGGTCATGTGAATGACCATTTGAAGTTACAGAACAAAAAAGTACAGTAGAAAGAGTCTTTTCCTCCTGTTTCTTTTTCTCCATTCAGTACTCCTTTGTCCATTATTATGAGTCACTATTTTCTTCGTCTTCCTCTGCCTCATCAGATTTCTCAGGATCCTGAGAATCAGAACTTGTGTTATTGGCATCGATTGCAAATGGGTCCTCTCCCTGTAAAACAAAATCATATCCCATTAAATATTGTTTCAAAAAAACCTTGTTTTCTAAATGTGTTCCAATATGCCACAAATGTCATTACCTTCATGTACTTCTCATAGCGCACCTTCACATTATCATTATTTATTATTGCTTTAGCTGTGACCACGCTGTCTCTTTTTAACTGCTCCTTATAAGCCTTTTGAGAGTGAAAATGAGAAAAAGGCCATATATAAGATGAAAACGGCGGTTCATGATATTTAGAGAAGAGAGGAGAGAGTCATGTTACCACTTTGCTCTTGAGGTGAGTGAGTGAATGAAGATGTTGCTGTACAGAGCTGAAAACCGCAGGAATGTGAATGTCACATGCAACACAGTAAACCACCTCCATCCTTCTCATGTAGTCATCTTCTGTCACCCCTGTAAGAACAAGAAGTTTAAATAGAGTCTGTCAGTATTTGTCTTTGTAGTATGCAAGATGATAAAGCCTCAAAGCATCAATTGTTCAAAAAATACTTGTACATCGGTGTATTGGTTTATCATATTATGCATATTTATGTGATGTTGGCTTGAGCAGAGTCATACCTTCCATTATCTTTGCCCAATCATCTTTGCTTCGTCCACAGGAAAACTTAAGTTTGTGTAGGGTAGAGACAGTTTTATGAAACTTGTGAACCATGCAATCCTGTGCAAAATTAGAATGGGGTAAATGCACATCAACAAATATAATAAAAATCCAGACTAAAACATCAAGAAAAAAAATATATTTAAAAAGTCTTACATGCAAAAAACTGATGACCTTGTCATCAAATTTGGCTTGCCGTCGTATATAGTCAAGAGTCTCTCTGTGATACGTGCTTCCAAAGTGTTTCTCAATGTCTTTATCTTCAAACGTGTGGAATTTACAAAAAGCACATGTAAAAGCCCACCTAAAAAATAAATAACGCGCTAAGAATACTAAAGTGACAGAAATTTGCAATTACCTTGACATTTACTGCTAAACGTATTTATTTAATTAATTAATGCTTACTTTTAAATATTTTGTATATCAAGCTAATTTAAATTCTTTAGCCTTTTTACATTTCACAAGTCAACATTTCTCTGCTTCTAAAAGGAATACTGCAGAAGTTATCAAGTTCTGCCTCAAATAATATATATATATATATATATTTTTTTAATAGATTTAAATAATAAATTAATATCCAGCAAATCAATCTAGAGAAGCGATGAGTCTGAAATTTCAGCGTTCACCTGTGCTTCTCTCCATATTTTTCATGATTCTTCTCTCGTCGTCTTCTGCGCTTCTCTCTGGCTCGAACTTTCTTACCAAGCTCTGCAGTCAAATATTAAACCATGCTTGCATTGAATTATGCTGTGAGATACAACTTTTTTTTTTTCCAATTTAATAAACAATAGAATATAAAAGCCATACCATGCTCTTTATTTATTTCCTTGGTTTCGGAAGAAATACAACTGTCCTGTAGAAAAGACAAACTCTAGTATCACAGGACTGATTTTGAGGCATCTTTGATTGCGAATTCTTACCTTTGAAATGTGTGGTCCTAAAACAAATTACAAAAAAAGCATCAATATAAGTCAACATTCTTGAAAAATCCAGTAAAGAAAGTGCGACAATTTGTCCATTTTTAAATCATGTTTGGTCTATCAAAGCAGCGCATCACATACCCACAATGCGGATTATGCTGGGAGTTGCTCTTACTATCCTCTTTTTTTTAACCATCTTGCAAGGAGGTACTGGTTCCATCATCTTCCTCTTGGTCCCTCGAAACACCAAAGCAGCTGATTTTGAGTAGTAACTCTCTATGCAAATAGACGGGTTCTGACTAGAGCACTGTGGAAGAGAATAGATAGAGAACATTCAACAATGAAAGTCATTACTTTTGCTCAATAAATAAACTAGACACCAGACGTACACCTACATCTTGTCCTTTGGCCTCAGGTACAACAGCACCTCTTCCGCGGTAGTTTCTGTGCACGTATGGATGCATGTCTCTGCCCCGTGAGCCAATCGGCGCCGACCGAGAGTGTGAAGGAGAGTACAGGCTGGAGGAATCGGAGAGGTTGGATGTTGAGTATTGACTCTCTCTGCCGCTGTCCAAAAACGGAGACCTGGACCTTTGGGAAGACATGACGAAGGGCCTGTCCCAGTTTGACAAGACGTCTGCACCCCAGGTGGATGAACAGGTGTCACTGTACCCTCCATTAGAATTATCAAAAACGCTATCTGCATCTTCAGTGTTCAAGGACCCAAGTCCAAAAGATTCATAGGCACCATAACTGATGAAAAATGAATAGTAGCGCGTTACAGTAAGATTGAATATTTTTTAATTAACTTATATAATAAAATATATATAATTAAGCATACATATTTAAAAATCTTAATTTAATTTTTAATTTATATAATTTTTATATTTAAAATAAGTTTTTTTGTTGTTTGTTTTTTTGCAAAGTGTTACCAAACAAATTACTTTTAAAATTAATGTGTTAAAGATCTCCAACATTTTATATAGGAGAGCTGTTCCTGTTGCCTCCTCAAAAAAGCACAAGGAAGATCCTCTGACAATTCTTACCTGTCAGAGCTTTTGGTCTCCAAGGACTCAGAGGATGCAAACGATCCAAATAATGGCTGACTGTAGCATTTCCCTGGGCATTTGACAAGTGAAAGTGATTATTTGAAAATGCTAAGAGAATGTACCTCATTCAGAAACAACAAGTACAAGACAGAAGTATAACAATGTAGCAATATAAGACTGAGGATTAAATTACCTGAAGATGGGAACATTTCATCCTCATAGTAAGTCCTTAAAAACAGATTGTATGTCATAATTAAAGCCGTGATTAAACCAAAGTCCCATTAAGGTATTCTATAGTCTTTGATTAAACATAAAATAATACTAGCAAGTACTGACTCCATATTTTAGCTGATGGTTACTGTAAATTACTGAATTTAGAAGTCAACGAATACTTTTTTTAATGGCCAATATATAATGATCAGGCAGGGTAAACTTCTATATAGGTATATAGGAGACCATTTATTTTACAAAAAAATGGCATGCCATAAATGGGAGATGAAATAATAATAAATAAAAACGTGAAAGCTAAAATTTACAGTTTTAAGTGTTGCGGAAATGCTTCACCACAGTCTGTGGAAAAAGGTCCATGTTCTTTTCAGAAGTTAAAAAAATAATGAAAACCTGTTTGGTATTATAATGTTCATGTAATAAAATACAAAATAATGTGTGAGTATTTAGGCCTAATCCACAATAATTGTTTGAACAGTTTTCCAGCAGTGCAAGCAGAATTAAAGATATGTCCCAGTTTCGTACCAGTAAAGTTGTTCAGGTTTGTCATAAAACACTTGTAGACGGCACAAACAGTGACACATATAAGCTACTCTATGAATGGGCCTTTGCAAGACAATCAACACTCCAGTGTTCATTTTGCCCTTGTGTTCGGATACTCTTTAAGATTTACTTGTCAGATTGAATCAGAACACCTTGATGTATTTACATCAATTTTGCACCATCGAATCTTACTTTTATTTAACCAAAATGTGTGTTTTGTGGTGTGGGAAATGTTACATTATCTGGCATGCTGGCATCGTCATTTAAAACCTTTTATTTTTTATTTTTGTATTTTTTGTAATTAAGTATTATGCACATTAATGCAAACCAAAAACATAACATTTAGTGATTAACTAAACAAAAGTCTAAATGCCTTTGCAAGGAATTGTAAACACTGAACTCAACATTTAAAACGTACCAATTTTTCCGTTTCACCGATTCTTTTTCAACAAAAGTGACGTTATTTCTAAATGCAACATAAAGGACGCTTCACTTACCACATAAACGAGAGTCAATCAGTCCTACCGCGTTAAATTAAAGCAGGTGTCACTGAAATCATTTCCCGCTAGAAACAAACTAAACGGTGTCAGGAAACTTTAGAGCTGGTTTGCGACAACAATTCTGCTTCTTCATAACCATTTCCTAATGAAAGTTGTCTTCCTCCAGAGGGCGCTAGTGGCTCACAAACCAAACATACACAGAGCCCATTCAAATACTTTTGGTCTCACTGAAGGTATTTGTACTATAAAATAGGCCTATATAATCGGATTGATACAGCCTTAGTAATGAATCTAAACTAAATGATTAAATACACGACTTTTCCAGTAATCACATACAGCTGTGTTTGGTCTGTCCTGATCAGCGCTGTGAAAGGTTACTGGTACCACGTGACAATGCCGTATCTTTTTTTTAGCATCAGCACCTTCAGTTGAACAATTAACACCTGTCAGAGAGTAACAATGTCCATTATATCGTAAATATTCACATTGAATAGTTCAATGAGAATTATGTTACATAACCACTCAGAGACAACTTCAGACCCACCAAACTTCGCCCCTTTGTGGTATCAGATTCATTCATTCATTTAGAGCAGCAAAATAATATTTGTAACACTTTCAAGACGTTGTCCTTCACCACTAGAGGAAGCTCAAACCTAAACCACTGTGCAAGGATTGCACTGAATATTCCAGAACCACATTTCGTGGGGAAAATTGTTTCGGTAGGCTACGTTTTGATATTGAGATTTGATTTATTAAAGGCTCTTATTTTAAAATACTATACTAATATAACTCTATACATACTAAAAGTTATATTGCACATTATATCTCTTAAATGATTTTACCTCCTCATAGGTTAGCTTTTAGTTCCTTATGCTGTATTGCAGTAGTTCTTAATCTTGGACATGTGGACCCCCGCTCTGCGAATTGTGCATGTCCCCCTTACCTAACATACCTGATTCTGATCATCAGCTTGTTTGGAGAGACTCCATGAACTGAACCGAGTGTGCCAGATAAGGGAGACTTACAAAATGTGCAGAGCAGGGGTCCCATAGGACCAGAATTAAGAACCACTGCTGTTCTAAACATTTTATCATTTCAAACAACACAGACACCAAGATATATATTTTCAATGTATTTATTATATTAAAAATTGCAAGTTGCAAATTTAACATCCTTTCAATCAAAACATGTGATTAGGAGCAAAGCAGACTAAATTAATTCTCCTTTCCATCAAAACCGGAAAGGCTAACCATGAAGGGATGCAGTATCAGGCTACATTCAAGGCTGAAGAGCAATACACCTTAAAGTAGCTTGCTGAAAAATAAAACACATTTCCTTTATTTTGAAAATAAGTACTCAGTCGGAATGAACAATAAGTGTTTTATGCACCTGAATGGACACAATGCATTTTTTTATGGTGGAATCATTTCAAATCAGGTACATCATAGTAAAACTATTAGTAGGTTATAAATCTCTACATAAATGAACAAACAAACGTTCATTCCAAACATCAAACAGAACCAACAAATAGTTAATTGTACAAAACCTATATAGTAATCTAATTTAAAGTCACTCAAAACATTGAAACTCATCTTTAGATTCATATGTGGTTATAATTATTGTTAGTCACACATGTATCAAAAATGATTTTCAAGCCTCATCTGGCACGACATCACGATTCTTGAGGGGTCACAAAGATACCAATTACAGGTCAGACCCTGCAGCATTTCAGTAGGACAAATATAACAGTGTGGGAAGTGTAATTCCACAAAATGACTAGACAACTCTTCTGTGAAATGCAAATAGGTCAAAAACAAAAATTTGTTCAAAATTGTATTCATTTTAATAAACAAAACAAAACAAAAATACAATAGACGTTATCCAAATTATTCAATTACTATTAACCCTGCAATTCATGTACACTACAGGTAAATTAAATACCATCCAATCTATTGAAAACTTTCATAAACAATTGAATGCTTTGAAGCAAACACCACTTAATCTATTTCAACGATTAATTAAAGCAGCTAAATATTACGGATACCCTTTACTTTTCAAGAGAACAATTGCACTTCCTCTTCATACAAATTACTGGCTTAAAATAAAATAAGGAAATGGTTAAAGAGTTTTAGGGTGCAACAGTGAAACCATTTATGTTATTATAGCATGCTACCTTAAAAGGGATAGTTTACCAAATTTAAATTCTGTCTTCATTTACTCACCCTAATGTTATTTCAAACCCGTATGACTTCCTTCTGTAGAACTTAACACACATAAAATAAAATACAAAAATTAAAATAAAATAAAAAATGAAATGGAAAAAAATCTAAAAGCCAATGTGATCCAAACAACTTTCATTCTTTCATACAGGTTGTCTAGATGTCTGGAATGACTTTAGGATGAGTAAATGACAACAATCTTTATTTTTTTATTCAACTATAAAACAACTATTAAATTTTGACCATGTTTTATTAATTTATGATAGATTTGTTACATTGTCAAGAAAAATGAAACAACAAATGTTCAGGTTAGGGACATCTAACACGTAATTCCAGCATTGGCGTGAATATCGATACTTAACATCTGGCAAGTCACTTTTTTGTGCATTTGCCTCAAAAGCTGACTGCATTGGCATGCACAGCGCAGACAGAGCAAGGTAACTTATAACAGTGATTCGCACATTTTACTAGCCAGCAAGGGCTAACAGTAAAACAGATGGTAATCATACACAGTTACAGGCTAACATATGATGTTAGAATATATATATCAGGGCAATTTACCAGTACATGTCTACTGGAGGTTTTGACCATTAAGGACCATGCAGTGTATACACACAGGTCTGTCCCATCATATGGTGTTATATACAAAACATGCACAAGTCAAATGAGGTCAACATAACTTATGCATCACTTTTGTATCCCACATGAAAAGATGTTAAGAAGGAAAAGGCTATTTTATTCCCAAAACTTGCACAGACTAAAGGTATCTTGTTCATTGCACTGCATCAACAAACATTGCTATTCAGTTCCAAGTATTTTGGTTAATAGGCATTGAATAGGTGGACAGTTTCATTAAAAAAAAAGATCAAACAGATAGTAACTGAGGTATAAAATATACTGTTTGATTGAATCTTTGACGGATATAACTTTGTATCAATGCAAACATTCAGTTTCTTAAACACTTCAGAGCACATCTTAAATGACTTTAGTGCACTTTTAACTAAACCTAAATGAGAATTCCTTTTTGGGGAATTCCAGGGAGACTTTTTCACTTTTTTTCTTTTACCACTTATAGTCGAGTACAGTAGTTGTGCTTAACTTTATAATAAAATGTCAGTTGTTCTGGGTTCTCCCAAACAATAAATACAATCATTAATGGCACCACAATACACAATGCATGTGATGCAGACTGTGCGGATAACAGCTGGTGAAAATGTTAACATGAATGCTACTGAAAATTAACAGAAAACAAAAGTGATCTGAATTATACTTCCACTGTAACATGGGCAAATGATAAAAACAAACAAAAAACATTTTAAAAGAACAAAAACCCATGCAGACAGGCATAATCTTCTCAAACATTTGAATAATTCTCAAGAATTCTATGCACTAAGCATAGTTAAAATTCACAAGCGTTTATATTGGCTTGCCAGCAATTTGTTTTGGCCTGTCCAAAAAAATGACATTGAATGTTAACATAAGTTTTGATACTGGACTCATTCCTTACACACAGAACATACATTCATGCCCACAGTCCTGGATAAAACAACAAAGGTTTTTAAAAAAAAAAGAAAAACAAACAGAAGTACTGAACACTGCCTTTTGCGCACTCTGATTCCGTTCACTCAGAAAACCATCTTGCCAGGTTTTTTCTGATCCACACTCACACTCCGTTAGCAAAATTAGCACTGGTTTCCTGACTTATGCTCTCTTTGACCTCTAGGGGCAGTGAATCAAAAAGGTGGTCTTCCACAATGAGGCCATTTCGGCGCAAGAGTCGGCACTGGCCAAGCTGTGCGGGCAGGCGATCCAGGCAGTTCCCCTTCAGCTCAAGATAAGTCAGCTGCAGCGACTGCCCGATTTTCTCTGGCAGCAACGAGATGCAATTGTGCCCAAGGGATAGGGTACGCAACTTTGTGCATTTGAACAGCTGCTTGGGTACCACTTCCACCTTGTTTCCTGTGATGGCAAAGTGCTGTAGATTCTGGAGAAACCCCACCTCTGGAGGAATCACTACGATGGAGTTGTGGCTAACATCCAGGTATCTCAGTTTAAGAAGATTGAACAGGGTGGTAGGCAAGGTCTCTAGTTTGTTATGTGACAGATAGAGGAACTCTAGGTTTTTTACGTGACTTATGGACAATGGAATGGAAATTATTTTATTATGCCACAGTTTGAGGCAGTTAAGCCGTTTGAGGTGCTGGAAGCTGATGACCTCTTCAATGGTACGGATATTGTTCGATTTCAAGTCCAACTCCTGCAGGTTGGTCAAACTAAAAATTGCATGCGGTATCCGCTCCAGTTCACAATTGTGCAGCTCCAGTTCAGCAAGATTCATCATCTTTTTCAAGCTGTTCAACACCAAGAGTTTAGTACCATCATTGTGAACCACAAGTTTGATCAGGTGGGGTGACAAGTCCGTAATGTTAGTCGGGATCTTGGTAAGGTTGCTCTTCAGATGTAGGATCTTTAGATGCCTCAAGTCCCTGAGGGACTCTAATCCTATCATTTTGTTATTCTCAGAGTTCAAGTTTCCCACCAAGTAGAGCTCTCTCAAGTTCTTCAGCATGTAAACCCAAGTGGGAATCTCTCCTACATCCGTAAACTTGACATGAAGGCACCGGAGGTGATCGCGCAGGAAACTGAATGCAGTCTGTTCGACTTTGGCGGGGCAGTGGTAAAAGTGCAACTCGTGGAGGTTGATCATCTGGGAGATTTTCGCTGTGATACGTGCCTCTGGGATGAGTTCTAGTTTCAGGACCTCTAAATCAGTGAGGTCAAAGACCGCATCAGGAACGCCCGAGAGCATAAAAAGATGCAGCTCAAGCTTGTCCTGCGCATTGCGAGTCACGTGTTGGCGTAGTTTCTCAAAGGTCCACTCGTGGTTTAAGCTGATTTCCCGCAGTTTGTTCTCACTTACCTCTGAGAGAAAGACACCAAAACGTTTCGAGTACAATTGGTCATACTGGTCCACCATGTGTAGGAGGAAAGCAAAGTCATTCTTCACATCTGGGATATCACTAAAAC